TAATTGTCAGGCGACGATGATTGGTGTTAAATAGTGACGATGACGATGATGATGACCATGAAGATGATTTATTTATATATTTATTTATATACTAGAAGAATGCCCGGCTTCGCTCGGGGGTCATAACTCCGAAACCGGAAGTGGTAGACTAACGCCACCTGGCCTATGTTACTCCCCGGTCCGAGCTACCCCTATACCCCAAATTCCAGACTCGGAAATGACAACGTGAATGATGGATCAGTCGAACGACAGAGTGAATGACAGGAGTTTTCCAGTCGAATAACAAAGATAATGGCAACTCTGGTCATAGCATATCTGTTTATAATATATTTCATATAAATGTTTATACACGTATTTGAAAAATACATTTAGGTCTACGTGTAATGTTGAATGTATAAATTCGGAAATGTTTTGATCTCTTGAACTGTATTATTTAAAATACACAATTAACGTAATAAATTGTAAATAATGAATCAAGCCAAGACATGTATTAAATGTTTTAAATGTTTTATTGAATTGGAATAGAAACTGAAAACAGATTAAGAGTGTATCCACGAGAAGACCATTCAAAAATCGCAAAAAGTGCTAAGATGGGGGGGGTCGGAAGTTTTTGATCAAACTTATGGTATGACACCCCCTAGGGGCAAGAGGTAACATGCTGAAGTGGTTACAGTCTGATGTCGCTCTAAAGGACTGTACAGGAATTATTCATTTTATGGGTAAAATTGCGGTTTTCACATGTGTATTTATCACCTTTTTAAAGCACAGACTGCATTCTATGGTGGAATAGCAACCTTCTAATTTTGACCCTGTCTGATAAAGCGGGTGGTCAACTTCTACCCCAGCACTAATTTGAAAAAAAAAATCAGTACATACTAATTTTGTGTGGACTTGTTTTAGGGTACCATATTCACATTGTCCTTATAGTGCAGAAAAAGATACAATGTAACTTTTTCTTTCATGGTCGCAAGTAGAATTTCTTTGGGTGGTTTTGAAGTGCTAAGCACATAGTGTCCATAGGTGTAAAAAAAATGACCGGAATGCAACATACTTAAAATATACAGCTTATTGAAAAGTGCTAAAAAAAAGCTTTTGTGATACATTTTTTTGCGAATTTAATTAGAGAAATAAAATTTTTAACTTTTATACGTTTTCATCATATCCATAGCCATTATTTGTATCATGTTGTACTCTATATAAGTGTGTATTTGTATTTATTGTATATTTGGTATTGTCGTATTGTCCCTTTAACATATTTGTTGTATTGTCTCTTTAAGATTTCATTTTCAAACAAGTTACCGAAAATGGCTACAAAATGTTTAATTTCAGAGCATGTTTCCACTATTCATTTTGGGACACATCCACTGATTTCTACAATACAGAAATGTGGAAGCTTAAATATTAACGGCAACGAAGCCTAATTGCGTCGAAGTGGGTGACATTGAACAGTGTAGTATGGTAGCTACAGCTCTCGGGCACCGACAGCTGCACCGTCAGGGCCGGATTTAGAATAAGAGAGGCCCTAGGCAAACCCCCTGAACAGGGCCCACGACATGGACCTTGGGGCCCAGGGACAAGCAACTCGGTGAGAGGGTGGGTCGGGGGAAGTCATGCGGTTGGTGGTTCGAATCTCACTTTTAGGTGAATTTTTCATTTTCGTTGGATTATTTTATTTAAAATAATGTCTATTTGAGAGTAATGGATATGTTTGTGAAGATTGAGCACGTCGAAACTCCAATGGAAGGTCGTGGACAACTGCAGAAGTCAATTCCCGTTGACGCCATGAACGATTACAGGCCTTTGAAAGTATTTTTTTTCAAGATATTTTTATAAAACAGATACTAATGTATTTTAGGGCTGGTAGTAAACACCATATGAATGAAAAGGAAAATAAATTGTTAGGTTTTTTTTTTATCTACTACGGTTAATTATCTCCAAAATAGGAAAATTACACGTTAATTTCATGGGTTCTTGTTTCCTTTACCTAGTTTTTGTCAAGTCGATTCCAGTCATTTTTATTTTTTGTACCAAATGTTGGGAGGTTGCTTGTTCACGTGAGCATAAATTTTTTAAACCCACCCCATGAAAGAAGTAGCTATAGGGCGTCAAACTTTGGGTGACGAAAAATGGGGAATTTAGACAGGCTTTGATATCCAGTCCGTATACAGATCTCGTTCGACAGAATCGTCTGAAGTTAATATTGTGGTAACAGCACTGAGTCATCGATAAACTGTGTGAGTTTGGTCTTTCTGCTACGTATAGTAAAGGTGAAAGGACTTGCCAAAGTTGATATTTGAGAAAAGACAGATTTTGGCAATTTCACCATATGAAAAATGTTTTTTCAATTTTCTCATACAGGAATTGAAAAATTTATCTAATATTGCACATTTATGTGTTTTTGGACTATCCCAACTTATAAACCAAATTTGGTCAAAATCTGTGATTGAAGCCTTAGCACCTTCTGCATGGTTTTCTCGCGGACATGCTCTTAACACCCCGTGTGAGATATTTCGTTCATATATTGTGAAAGGGTTGGTAATAAAATTACAATTATCATTGTGTCATTTTAATAACATTGAATCGTCCTATTCTGTTACGTAGTCGTCTCAACATATTGTTGTCATGGGTTACTTCTGCTAAACAACTCAATAGAAACGAGTAAAGTATTATAAAAGAAATTATGTCTAAAGAGTTCTTCATGATATGTATTGACTGTAAGACACAAAGCGTACAGGATCTAAGTGTGATGTTAAAGGTCAACACACAAATATTGAAATGTCTGTGATTTTAAAACCATGTTGGACGCCATGCAATATGTAGTCCCTATCTGGGGCATTTGGAGACAGTAACGATTCCCAGGCTAATAAATTCAACTGTGGTGTCATTTTACCGTCTCCAGCATCAATCCCCGATGCTAAATCCCTGGTTTCGTTTGAGTTTGCCCATTCCCCTCGAGTAACCGAATAATGACGGGACGAACCGTGGTTTACACTAAAACAAATAGTACAATTGTTAGCAAGATGACATATGGTTTCATTCCGTATATAACAGGCTGGGGAGTCGTATCGACGACAAATTTCTCTTCCGCCAGGAAGGAACGGACCCCTCTTCTTATCTCCTGGATTCTTTGACCAACTGGATTGTTGAGTTCCAAGTCTCAGGTTTATTATTTAACAATATTACATACAATGTAGATATTAGATATATTGGCAATACCTGCTAGATATTACATACACGGTAGATATTAGATATATTAGATAGATATTATTGGAAATTTTTTGTTTTGGTTTATGTTTTCAATTTGATTAAGAATATATTGAATTTAGAAATTGATATTTCATCGTGCACTAAGTTAGATATTAATAATTGGTATATCGTGGAGTTAATGGATATAGAAGTTAGATATTAATATATGGTATATCGAGGAGTTATTGGATATAGATGTAAACTCAAACACCGCTGAATGTATACGTGCAGCAGCCTCGAGTTCTTGTGGCAAATCTCAGAGGTTATGGATCTTTCCACATCAGTTTATATACGCATGCCCTGTTCAAATGATTGGGGGTGGGGGGGGGGGGTATATTTTATCATAGATGAGCCAGGTCAAAAAGTCAATCAGCCAGAAGCATTAATTATATTCCATAGAACTATGGCCGTCTGTATGGCCTCCTGTGTATTTCATAGAACTATGGCCTCCCGTGTATTCCATAGAACTATGGCCTTCTGTATGACCTCATGTGTATTCTATAGAATTATGGCCTCTTGTATATTCCAAAACTGGTTATATTTCTTTAACTTTTGGTATACTTAAATTCGGGCTATTATTTATGGTAGAAAGATATAATAAAATGACCTAAAGCTTTAAAACATATTTGTAAATATGTTGATGCACCCTAAGAACCAAACTGAATTTGAAGCACCAAGAATAAATAAATAAAAATAGCTATAATGCATGATTTTATTGTAACTAGCAGTATCAAAATACAGATGTGCCCAGAAGCTAATATTAATAGGGCCTATACCCTATAAAAGTTTACAATAGTGTACCGTAATCAAATTGTTTACTTACTGTCCCCGTGACATGGATTCAAATCACAAATCCACCCAAGCTAGAACACTGCAAATCCGAAGATCTTTGTTTATAAAAAAAAATACTTTCCATTCAATAAATATTCCAGTCATCTATTTTTGGATTTGAGGAAATTCATTCTCTTTTTCCCATAAATACAGATGGCTGCATTATTTTATAATTAAACCAAAATGCATGTAATCAAAAAACGCTTTTATCTGCCATATGTAATATTCCAGTCATCTATTTTTGGATTTGAGGAAATCCATTCTCTTTTTCCCATAAATACAGATTGTCGTATTATTTAATAATTAAACCAAAAAACATGTAATCAAAGAACGCTTTTATCCGCCATATGTAATATTGTCACGTGACATTGTTATGTTTTGTTTCGCTTGGGAAGCATTTATTATACAGGATAGAACTCCAGTATAGTAAGCCATAACTATGAACAATATAATGTCCCAAATAAATAATCTATTTTGTAGATCTGCAATTAGTCACGTGATGGTCCGAACATTATTTGTATGGCTCTATTTGTTGATATCAAATGCCCCATTTAGTAAACGAGGCAATTTTACCCAGCCTCGCTCTGAACAAAATACCTCGTTCCAAAAACAGGGCAATTTAAAAAACCACGTTTTGGAATCCAGACAAACAAGGCATTTTTTTACCTCGTTACAACGTGGCAAAATCGAGGCAAAAATTTTAACACACTTTTGCCTTGTTTGGACAGAAATGCCGAACGAGGCATTCTGAGGTTTATAGTGTTAGCACACTGTATGGCGTATGCCCGTCTTCATTAGCCCAATCGAAGCAGAACCTCAATCCTACTATAGTTTTGACTGTTACCAGACGTGAAACGTCCTCGATGATGTCAAAGTATCAAATCAGGTTGACATATATCTATTTGAAACAAAATAAAACAAACCTTGGGTCTTTATAAAGTTTATAACTGGCGCTTAAATTCCGAATAGTGTGAAACACATCACTGTCCTTGTATTGCCATTGTGCTATTCTTTCATTCTGGCTACCATCTGACGCACAGCCAAAGAAACCTTTGCACTTCCATTCTATGCGATCACCCAGAGAAGCTGTCACTGGCCCTACTGGTTCCTCGACTATATGGATCTTACCATCTGATGCTTCACATGCTAAGTAAAACAAACGCAACTGTCAGTTGCCAATTTACCCACTACTACCCTATACTACCAAATAAACCCCAATATTACCCTATACTACCCATTAAAATGCAGATGTGACATCATCGTTTGATGCTGGCGTACCATTATTTCAAATAATATATGGGCAACTTGCCAATAAATCAGTATTATACTAGATGAAAAGTGGGACTCGTGGCGAGAACGGTGTCTGTATTTAAAGTTGTGTAAGACACTGCGTAATTTATTAAAACTACACTCGGACCAACGTCCTCGTGCAGTATCAATATATTACTTAATCTCTCGCTCGCGAACAATAAACCACACATACCACTCAATACTACCACATATATTACCTCATTATTGTTGGAAACTAACATGATACTTTAAGTATGTAAGGGGAGATAACTGGATTTACGGAAAATTGACATTTACTGTATATTTAGTGAAAGTTTTCCGCTAATAAACCCTTTTTTGTTAGTCGAGATTGTTTTGTTTTACTTATCTCAATACTTTTACGGTCTTGCAAGATATGAGTTTATTTGTTAACATCTTTTAAGTAGTAAAACAGTACCGAAAATAAGGCCTGTGGCAAACCCTGCAATTACGATCCTGTCGAAGCATCTGGAACCCTTTTTAAAGATAAATTTATCATAAAATCAGCTCACCAATTCAGGTTATGCTCAAACTGAAAATTACAATTGCACCTTTCTTGCCTTCAGTGATGCAAAGTTTCTAGACTACTTCACTCGCTCACACAGGAACATGGTCATAATGCCAGTATATGTACAACTGTGTGGTTCCCTCTTCAAGTGGCACCCAGGGCAATTTCCCTACCTGCCATAACGTAGATATGCCACGGATTAAAAACTAGCTTTTATATTGAAAATAACTTACAAATAACTTTCAAATGGATCTCTTGTTGAATTGTGGAACTACCATTTTGACCTTCACAGATGTATCGTCCTTCATCGTAAGCTCTCACTAATGTTATCTCTAGTACTTGACCGTCTTCAATGATGCCTAGGTCCTCTCGATCCTGGTCCCAAGGGTAATCATCGTATCGGCTCTGAAGCTGGTTCCATTTCTTCCACCTGATGGTTGTATAACCTGTCATACAACAACGTAATGCAATATACTTACTTATTCGAATATACATAGCCCCAGCCGGTCTTCCTCGAAATGCCAAAGCATCTGAAAAAAAGAAATATACAAGAAAAAACTATTATTCATAACAAAACACGATACAAGGCCTTAATATGTTAATCTTTTCTTTTATAGACATTTAGGGGGTTGGATGACATTGAATCAACTGATACATAGATTCCCCAGCTGTACATGACAAGGAGTAGGGTCTCCTGTCCAACCTCGTGGGGTTTTCTCCGGGTCCTCCGGTTTCCTCCCACTGCTTAAGACCTCTACGCGCAAGCGAATTGTTGGAATAAAATTAAAGCTTATGTTAATCCCGAAATGACCAAGTGGACGTTACCCCCTCCCCCTCTCTCTCTCTCTGCCCAGGTATCTTTTACGGGCATACCAATGTGTACACGGGACCTCGATTTTTTGTCCCATCCGAACGATTAGACAGCTGTCCTTGCCAGGCCCTCCGTCATGCACCACTGACAAAGGGAAACCACGCCGGAAAATGATATATTTAGGCACTATTTTAAAGTTATCAAGCTCTATAAACGGTAGCTGTTTTCAATAAGTATGTAGCCGAATGGTTTAAAGCCTGCGCTTTAAATCAAAAGGTCTGACATTTGGTCCAGTGTTGTGGTTTCGATTCCCCATACGTGACAAGGTTTCCTCCCACTGCTAAAGACCCCTACGCGCATGCCAATTGTGTAAATAAAATTTAACCATATGCTAGTCCCGAAATGACCTAGTTTGTGTCTAGTGGACGTTAAACCCCATTTCTCTCTCTCTCTCTCTCTCGTACGTGACAAGTAGTAGGTTCGCCTGTCGAACCTTGTGGGTTGTCTCCAGGTCCCCTGCTTTCCTCTCACAGCTAAAGACTCCCACGCGCATGCGAATCATTGAAATAAAATTGAACCACATGTTCGTCCCGAAATGAAATGAAAATTGGTTTTAACGTCCTACTGTTCTGCTCCTAAACTTGGATAATGAAAACGGGCATACGCCACATAGTGTGCTATGAGCGAAATTTTGCCCGGGCAGCGGCGCTACGGCCTACTCTTATATAGAATTCCAACTGCCAAGGGATCTTTTACGTGCACGCCAATATGTACACGGGACTTCGGTTTTTCGTCCCATCCGAACGACTAGACAGATGTCCTTGTCAGGCCATCCGTCCTACATCACTGACAAGGGGAAACCATGCCGGAAAATCCCGATGAACTTTCTCGGCCAATGCAGGGATCGAACACCCGACCTCCAGGCTAGCTAGCCAGCGTCTTACCCACTTAGCCACGTGATCCCTCATGATGTACCGGTTGTGCCAATATCGATATTGATTTAATGATTCTAACACAGATATAATTTATTAGAACAACTGCAGCTTACTTATAGAATCGGAAAAGGAGCGGATTTAATTATCTTTACAACATCTGACACTTTGTATTATTTGATTCAACACGATTTATCTAATCTAATAAGGTTATAATTCAATGGGTAGAATATTTTATGATTATCAACCGACAATAAGTTCCGGTCGTCGCCTTTGCATTCCCATTATGAACACACACAGATAGCTCTAGGATTTCCTCTGTTTTTCATCTGGGGAATATAACTCGAACATATGCCATTTAATGTACATATTACATATTATAAATCTTATCAAAATTTTACCTTGATATCATCACCATTTTTACTACAAGTCATAAGATATAGTTTATTAAGGTATATATTATGGGATGATTTGTCTGTTAAAAGAGAAATAGAGAGGCATAGAAATGGGGTTTAACGTCCACTCGACACAAACTATGTCATTTTCGGACAAACATATGGTTCAATATTATTTTAATAATTCGTTTGCGCGTAGGGGTCTTTAGTTGTGGGAGGGAACCGAAGGACTCGGCGAAAACCCACGAGATTGGATAGGCGCCCCCCGCGCCTTGTCACGTACATGAGACCGAAACCACGCCACTTAACTCAATGACAGACCTTATGATCTAGAGCGCACGCCTATGACCGCTTGACCACCCAACACCGCAAAAGAGAGATAACAGAGCATTGCGAGTTATATCTATATAAACAGGGTCTATATGCTAATCAACGCCATGTTCTTACAAGGCCGGTTTTTGGTCAATAACGTCTTACGTATTGCAAAATTTTACCGAAGACGAAAGATATATAATATATGCGTATTCGAAACATAAAGTAAAATTTAAATGACTTCATAAAAAAAGAAAAGGTGATGGAAAATTTGAATGATTTCATAAAAAAGAAATAATGGAAAATTGAAATTAAAAAAACCCCACGGATAATCACAAGTTAAAGGCCATATTTCCCCAATAATTTTACAACATGCTTTTCATGCTTTGGGGTTTCCCCGATAAATTAAGGTTCTTCAAACGGTGGATTGTGCTTACCATTCTGGTTGTTTTTAGGGCAAAACTGCCTTGCAGAAACCACAGCAAAAACAGCTAAAACAATCACAGACAGGTAGTACATTACTCTGAAATGTAAGCAAAATACTATTAAATGAAATGGGGATTAATTTCCTTCTGTTCTGCGCCACCATACAGTGTGCTATGAGGGAAATTCATCTCTGTGTTAATATTATATTTAGAATGTGTTTAACCGGTTCTATCACATACATTATGTAATATTGATTGACATTCACGATGTGTGATTTGCATCTTTCGGACGATATTAAATTTGCCACGATTGGCTATTCAACATTAAATTATGGAGCCACAGTGGCTCAGTGAGTAAGACGTTGGGTCGCTAGCTTAAAGGTAACGTGTTCGATCCCTGTGTTAACTGAGAAAGTTTAGCGGAATTTGGCGGCGTGGTTCGTCCTTGTAAGTGGTGTAGGACGGAGGGTCTGGCAAGGGACAACGAATAGTCGTTGGCGTACTCATAAAAGAACCATTGACGGTTAGATTTTGAAATAAGAGTAGGTCGTAGCGCTACTGGCCTGGGAATATTTCCGTCATAGCTCTCTGTATAAACAAGGTGTGGCGTAATTTTAGTCCTTCTGCTCATAGATATGTAGACTAGAATATAAGCAAAAGTGAACAAGATGGCGGACTAAACAAGATGTGTGTTAGCTCGCTCCGTGCATAGTAACATGATATGTAAAAATATATAGATGAAACTAATTAAAAAGAAGTAATTGATAGTGCCTAATGACAACGAAGAAATATAGTGAAAATAAGCTTCATAGTTTTTTCAAATGAACTTATAAATACACAATTTCCAGAAAGAAAAGGTGAGCTGTGTTAAACAGAGTGATCAGTGAATAGATATCTCAACAAGATCATATCGGCTGTGAGGATTTAAACTAGTTTCAACATTTGAAGTAAGAAATTTATCAGCACATACTAAAGTAAAATGAACAACAAAGGAGCGAGTAATTGTATCAAAACTGGGGAAACACCACGAACAACAAGAAGCGGGACAAAGGAAAACATTGTTACAACAGAAGATACTACAAAGGACATTTCAGGTATCTATGAAATCTTAAAAACGATAAAAGATGAAATGATGAATACGATAAAAAAGAGTGATATAGACAAAATAAGTGAAAGTATTTTAGATAAAATCAGGAAGGAAATGAAGACTGAGGTAAAACATTTAATCATGGAGGCCACAGCAGAGCTGAACGAGAAATATGAAAACGCGACAATTAAGATTGAACAACTGACGGCCGAAAAAAGTGCGCTACAGAGAAAAGTTGAAAACTTAAATACAGACTTAAACAAAGAAAATAAACGTATAAACGAATCAATAAAAATGGCCAATTACAATGAACAATATTCACGTAAAATGAACATAAGAGTTTTTGGCTTACCTACACAAGGATCACAGGATTTAAAAGTAACATTCATAGATTATATCAAAAGAATAACCCAAATTGATATTGGGAGAGAAGAAATAATTGCCATACATAAACTTCCCACTAAATACCCTCATAGACCTACCCCTGTTTTAGTTAAAATGATAAACACTGATTCCAAATCCAAAATAATGAGATGTAAATAATATAAAATTAGCAGACGACATTACGAGAAGAAACTTAAGTCTGATAAATAGAGCTTACAACCATCAACGAGTTGCTCAAGTATGGTATTTTAACGCATGTGTTTACGCTAAATCAACAGGTCGAAAGAAGATACAAATTGACTTGTTTGATGATCTTGATGAAAAGTTGATCTCGGCCCCTTTTCAAGAAATTCACGACGACCAGGAAAATTAACTTATCTGAAACACTGAACGTAGAATAGCGACAAAGTGACTTTATCCTTTGTATTTTAGTTTATTGTTTTTTGTTTGTTTTTTTTTGGGGGGGGGGGGTAGTAATTTACTTTGTTTGCTTTTTGGTTTTGTCGCTTTTTTTTTTGTTTGTAGCCACTACCGATATTAAACAGAGGTTCACCTAAGAATGTAATGACAGATTTTAAATAGTTTTCATAAGAATTACAAGCTAGCTTTAGTAATGTTATAGAAATCAGCATAGCTATAACCGGAGCAGCAAAAGCACAGGTGTATCGTCACGCCTCATTTAAGATGAATGCCTTGCGCTTAATCAAACATACATACGTCACAGTATTAACTGTATTTAAAGTAGAAATTTATAAATTGAGCACTTGTCTACGATATCACCTTAGGTGGAAGTGGACGTAAAACCCCAGAAACGAACGAACGAAATTGAGCACAACAGTTGTATGGGTGGCAGTATTTCTTTTGGGTTTGCTTTTCAGCGGCGATTCTCTTGTCGGTATCAAGCGTTTGATAGTGACAGGAAAGTTGTTTTTGGAGTGTGGATTTGGCGGAGGTGTGGTAGTTGTTATACATGGAGCTGTTGTGTTTAATTTAATGAGTTCAATTACTAAATGCCTTTCAAACAGTATTGAAATATATACCTTGATAAAAAAAATATATAGTTTAAGGATGTTTCCACACACACGATTAATTATTCGGGATATTGTATATGTTGTAATATATTTTAAAATTGCTGTTGGTTTTTTTTTATGTAGTAAATATTTTAAAAGGGTAAACTGTACTTTCGAGACTATTGTATGTGCTATTATATATTTTAGACAGATTATTTTTAAATCAGTATATCATCATTTGTTTGCAGGGGATACAAATAATTATAAATATATAACAGTATTACCAAATAAAGCTCAATATGGCTGATCTAAAATTATTATCGCTAAATGTTAGAGGTATGCGGCAAAAATTTAAGCGCGTCAAACTATTTATCTGGTTAAAAGAACAGAATGTTGATATTTTTTTCTTACAAGAAACACACAGTACTAAAACTGAAGAAAATCTCTGGTTGCAAGACTGGGGAGGCCACATAGTCTACTCACACGGTAAAAGCAACTCGGCAGGCACAGCTATTTTATTTCGAGATACATGTGATGTAAATATTGTTAGTGAAATAACCGACGAAAAAGGTTATTATACATGTGTTATAATAGATATAAATAATACAAACTATATTCTTATAAATACGTACAGCCCGAATACTGATTCTGAACAATATAAATATTTTACTCGTTTACATGAATTAATGTTAAAACTAGAAAATGATTCAAAACTTGATGTTTTTATCGTAGGGGGAGATTTTAACAACATAAAGGACGTAAATGTAGATCGGTCAGGAGGCAATTATAAAGTCAAGAAAAACGGTAGATACACCATTAACAAAATAATACAAAGTTTCGGACTGATAGATATATTTAGAATAAAAAAACTCTGTTTAAAGAAATACACATGGAGGCAGTCAAAACCTCTTATTCAAAGTAGGATTGACTATTGGCTAATAACAGATACTATTCAAAATTATGTTGAAGAATGTTCAATGAAAGTTAACACAATAAGTGATCACTCAGCGATAATACTAAAATTAAAAATGTCTGAAAATGTACGAGGGAATGGTCAATGGATATTTAATAATAGCCTAACTTCCGACAAGAATTACTATGAATATATTAAACTGTCAATAAGGAGGTGGGAAAATGAATTTCATGATGAAAAAGATAAGTGCGGACTTTGGGATTATATAAAGTTTAAAATAAAATCTAATACTATCATTTATTGTAAGAAAAAACAAAGTATTAAACGGAAGCTAAAAGAAGAAATTCTAGGACAGATGGAAAACATTGAAAGCCAACTGTTCGATAACATTAAAAACTCAGAGTATCAAACGTTAGTCAATAAACTAGACATAATATATGAGGATGAAACACGTGGGGCTATTCTGAGATCGAAAATAAAGTGGTATGGCGAGGGAGAAAAAAATACTAAATTATTCCTGAACTTAGAAAAACAGCGACAGAAAAAAACAATTATAAACCGTATTAAAACGACTCAAGGTTACGAAATAACTTCTCCTGAACAAATATTGAAAGAAATTCATAATTATTATAAAAACCTATATGCATCGTGTGATGAATACCTTAATGTAGAAAAAAACGAATTTACCAGCATAAATCAAAATTTGCCAAAACTAGATGAGTATCAGAGTGATATGTTAGAATATAAAATAGATGAAGATGAGTGTTTTCAAGCAATTAGAGAATTTAAAAAAAACAAATCCCCTGGAAATGATGGCCTGATGGCAGAATTTTACTCTGCGTATTGGCCACTAATTAAAAATTATGTTTTAAACTCCATTAATTATAGTTTTGAAAACAGAACACTCTCTGCGTCCCAAAGGCAATCAACAATTAAATTAATTCCAGAACCTGGTAAAGATAGAAGCTTACTAAGTAACTGGCGGCCTCTGACCCTAATAAACTGTGACGTCAAAATAATAAGTAAGGTCTTATCCACTCGATTAAAACATTTTCTTGGTTCACTGATACATGAGAATCAAACAGCTTTCATCCCGGGCAGACACATTCAAGAAAATATTCGTACAATTGACGACTCTTTTCATTTGGCAAATTTAAAAAAGATAACCGGTTTCCTTCTAGCGTTAGATTTCAAGAAAGCTTTTGATAGCATAAGTCACAAATTTTTGTTAAACAGTCTTAAAACATACGGTATAAAACGGAATTTTATAAGATTTATACAAACTCTCTACAATAACATTAATGGCTGTGTAATAAACAATGGCTTCACAACTGCATATTTTCCAATAAAGAGGGGAGTACGACAAGGAGATCCTAGTAGTACGATTTTATTTAATCTGGTGATTGAAACTTTATGCAATTTTATAAGAAATAATAACAATATTTTAGGAATAAAATTTGGTCAAAAATCAATCAAATTACTTGCCTTTGCCGACGACGTGGCCTGCTTTTTGAGGGATTTTAAATCGGCAAGACACCTATACGAAGTACTGAAAAAATTTAGCAAAGTGTCCGGATTAGAGATAAATGTAACGAAAACAGAAGCCATAGATCTTAACAGCGGAAGCTTGGATTTTCAAACGGATGTGGAAAGCATTGGTTTCATATGTAAAAATAATGACATAAGAATATTGGGAATTGTCTTTTCAAAGGATACAAAAACAACCGATAGAGAAAATTTTGAACCCCAACTAGATGACATAGAAAGAATATTAAGAACTTGGTCGAAAAGAAACCTTACGTTAATGGGTAAAATCCAGGTTATTAAAACTTTTTGTCTATCAAAAATATTATACTATTTAGTAACTGGCACAAGATTTATACACAAAAGATCGACTTTTCAGTATCTTTAAAAAATCAACTAGTTTGTTACAATAAAAATATAGAAAATAGTATCTATAACCATAAGTATGAGAAAACATTTGGTAAAGGAAAAATAATCTACTTACATGAATTTATCGGAAATAAAGCAAACTTACATATAAAAGATGGGAATGACCAGTTTTATGTAAATAATACAGCGTTGGTAATTTAAAAAATGCTCAAAACCCAAGTGAATCTAAATGACACGCCTAATCGAACGTATAACAAAGCTATAGATGATATCAACAGAAATTTGGAAGCATGGTATAAAAAAGATCTAATAAATATGACTGCTAAAGACATTTATAACCAAATGGTATTAGCTAAATACGAAAAAGCAAAATCAATTACTAAATGGGAGGAAGAATTAAATATACACCAATTTGAAGAAAATGATATAAAAATGATGTTCAAATTAGCTCACCATGTAAATATTGACTCTAAATTACAGAACTTCCAATATAAGTACATCCATAGAATAATTTATACAAATAAATTACTTTGTAAATTAAGACTGACGGAATCAACCCTGTGTTCTTTCTGTCTTTCAGATATTGAAACTGTAAATCATTTGTTTATACACTGTAGTTACATGCAACGAATATGGAACAAAATGTATGAAATTCTTACAAAAGCAAATATAAACGTAAATATAACACAAAAGGAAATTCACCTTGGATGCCTAGATAAATCAGTTTTTGACAATATTAACAAATGGACTTTTGTAAATCAAATAATATTTTTAACTAAGTATTACATATATAAATCAAAAATAGAAGCAAATATTCCTACCCGCGAAAGATACAGAGCAATTTTACAAAGTAAAAAATCCTTAGAACTGGAAATTTTTAAAACTAATAAGAAGATACTTAATAAATGGACATTTTTACCACATACCCAAATAAAACAGAAATAAACAAAAATTATTGTTATTAAATTATATGAACAACACGGTAGCTAAACGTACTTAAGTCCTTTCAACTTTCGACTTTCATTTCGTGGAAAGGATCTGTACTTTAATCTACCGCTTAACAGCTTAAATTTTCCCTTAAAATGTACAAAAAAGGTCGCTAATAATGTCAAGACTCTTGAACATAAACGTAAGCCTATTAAAAAGTCAAAGTAGACTTCTTGATCAATAGAATCTTATCGTAATATCAATGAAATATTTTAGAATTAATAAATATGCCGATTAGTATCATTTTAGCCGGACTTTTCGCCGACAAAGCATGGAGACGCTTCGCTTTCTTGGAAAATGGTGGTGACCTACTTATTTTGACGACTTTGCTGAGGGTGTTTCTTGCACTTTAAATTGTCCGAAATCTAATTGGGTGTGGTTTGGGCAAAAAACGTCTGTGTTTACTATTCGTGGAATAATTATTGTCCTATAGTCAAATTTCTCTCCGTCAACAAAATGTCTACAGTACTACTCAGATGGGGAAAAAAACCGAGGTCCCGTGGACATACTTGAGTCCACATAAAAGAACCCTTGACTGCTGTAATTTGAAATGAGAGTAGGCTATAGTGCCACTATCCCGGTGAGATTTTCCTGATAGTTCACTGTATGACGTATGAACATCTTCAATAGCTCAATCGGTACAGAACAGTAGGACGTTAAACCCCATTTAATTTCATTTCATATCATGAAATATATTCACCTTTACCCTTCCGGTGTGAAGCTGGCGATAATGTGTATGCACTTGACACGGTTTCGAAAACAAAGTTCACTTAGTAGTAAATCGTCAATTATATGTAAAACTTACCGGCCTGACAGCATCGCGATTGCGGTGGGGTAGGGGGCGTTAAAAATTGTTTCCACTGCCCTCTAATCCCCTTTTCTTTAACTAACAACCACAACTTTCTGTCCAAAATGTCAGCTTGCACGCATAGTGAGAATTAAACTGATTTTCAACAATGAAAAAAAAAAAAACCCAAAGAAATAACCTATTCTCTATTTTCCTGCATATATACATAGTATATTTTGCTTGTTAAAACCACCCGTTTTCATTAGCCCAGTTTAGGAGCAGAACAGTAGGACGTTAAACCCCATTGTATTTCATTTCACTTTATAAAACCAAACTAATATAATATTAAAAGATAAACTTTCGATTCTACGGGAAATATTTCAAGCAGGATGTATACACTACCAAGTATCTTAAATTAGCAACGTTGTCATATCCTATGGTCACTTACAACACTTTGATTCTTTGTGACAAAGCAAGCATAAATGTGGTTAATTAAAGAGACGTTTAGCACTAAATCTGCGTATTGCTAGTCTTTCTTTGAGTCTTAAATGTTATATAAATTATTAATTAGATAAATTTTTTATTAACATGGCAGTTATACTATAATCATCCCTCAACTCCATCGGATGGCTCCGATTTTAAATAGATTAGAACGGTTCGGCCATTTAATGATTTAATTTTAAAAATGGAGAAGCGAGGCTAAGACTCGAATGACCAGTACGGTGGTTACGATAATAAACATTCAATGCATACATCTTGGCAAAACTGCAACCATTGATATTTTTGCTCAAAATAAAGTAATTTGAATGAAATTTTAATATATTCATTTTGCATTACCTAATTTTGAAATACTATAGCGAGAACGGCCAGCTCTTTAACAGATGATAAACTTTTAACAAATGTATAACAATAACACAGACAAGTTGTATGATAAGCTTTACCGAGCAGGTATCACCAGCGACCCGTTCGTCTATATAAATTCCCGAGGCACAACGGAGTATCAAGGTATCCCCAATTTTATATGACTAATAAAATAAACATTATGTATATAAAATGACGTCTTTGGTCTGCTAGTGTCGTATATGTTCATTTATAAAATGTATTTGTTACTTAGTCACCGATATCAACTTTACATTTATAGTAAGTAAGAGAACAATAACCGTTCCCGTATTTATAAAAGGATCTTATTTAGGCTAGTAATCGTCTGCATAACATACCCGTGTACTTAAACTTAAAGCTATAAATATAACCTATTAGTATTACACAGCCATGTCAAGCATATACGAGAGACTCTATGTGACTCTAAATACTTAATCCATCTCTCGATCACTAAAAGAATATTTCTTGAATTTCTATTGTTGCCATGTCAATAAAACACACAGTAACTAGTAGCAACCGTTAATATCAAACCTTACCTGACTAATGACTCTCCGCCTTGACAAACGTAACCTGTTCTTCTTGTGATTTCGGCGCTCAATCTACAATTATTTCCTTGTCATCTCCGTTAACTAGACACTTGTAGCTTTTACTATCCAGCCAGCACACACCCCTTTAAAATTCAATCGTACGATTTTTGAAATTTTAAAGCTTTCATAAGCTGATTGTTTCTTTTTGAATAATACTGAACGGAACGTAAATCTATGCAATGTTAATTAGTATTAAACATATACATTAATTATGCAAGAGCTAAATCTGCCTATTCTAAATTATTAATTACATATTAATTATCTTATCCAGACCATAATCAACTCTCTATGTCATTGACAGCCTGCGATTTTTACTGAATTTGAATCCGATTTGCTGCTCAACGCTCATTGGTGATTTAATTAAAAAGTGGATAATTGAGACTATATTATTGTTCATCGTATCATCGAGGCTAGCCTAAAATTCAAAACCTAATATTTCGGTTCGAGTGGATCACTTTGACTGAAATTTTCAGCAAATTACCGTTACATTATCAAGTTTTTAACTGTTATAGTGAGAACTGCTAGCTCTTTATCTAATCTCCCATAATGCTCATTTAAGTATGCATGGACACAAGCCATCATGAAATGTTTTAGTAAGCCACGTGATCAGAGATTTAAAGGTAAACAACTATAAGTGTTTAAGATTGTCTGCCTTTTATCAGACAAAAATAATCTTAGCAGTTTATCGGAAAATACACATTAGGTATATAACTTGTTTATAAATATTAATGTTTGGGATTTTCCTTTCTCAGAATCTTGACTGTCGTACCCGATCATTGTTTTAAAAAATACCCTAACTCAGCTTTTATTGCTGTTATTGATGGCGGAGAGCCACGGTGGGTAAGTGAGTAAGACGTTGGCTCGCTAGCTTGGAGGTCGCGGGTTCGTTCCCTGTTTTGACCGAGACAGTTCATCGGGATTTTCCGGCGTGGTTTCCCCTTGTCAGTGGTGGAGAACGGAGTGTCTGACATGGACGATATATAGTCGTTCGTTCGGGTGGGACGAAAAACCGAGGTCCCGTGTACACATTGGCGTTTACGTAAAAGATCCCTTAGCAATTGGAGTAGACCATAGCGCCGCTGTCCGGGCAAAGTTTCATGCATATCACACCGTATGGCGTATACCCGTCTTCATTATCCAATTGGGAGAAGAACAGTAGGATGTTAAACCTCATTTCATTTCATTTCGTTATTGATGTGATACTATAGGGTTTATTTCAGTTATAAGAAAGGTGTTCTGTTTAATATAGAAATTCGTTACCTACACGATGTGTAACGAAAACTAGTGTAATCAAATAGCTTGCATTATTCTACTACTATCTTATCTAACTCACCGACAGTTATGTCAGTATCCATTGCTGGAAGTAGGGTACTGTAGTCCAGTTATCTCGTGCACAGATTAGTACAATTAACTAGAATAGTGTTGACGTAAAACGGTGCCTATACGAAACACTTACCCAAAATGATAATTGTCCCGCCCTAGAGATGACGCATTATAATATCTATATAGGAGATATATGGTTTGAGCGGCCCGAGAAGGTAACATCGTAGCCTCCTTAGCTTAGAGGTTAGGGTGAACACACCATCCTAGCGCGAACCTTATGTAGAATATCAAGAAGTATGCGGCTCTTGCCACGTTTAAGCCGTTCTGGTCTGAGTTAGAAAGGATATTAAACTCAGACCGTGGATGTTTTAATAACTCGAAGAGTACTATCATAACTTTGTAGTTAGCTGTATGTATTTAATTATATAAACTTAATAACAATAAAAACGGTGTTCCAGAGTCAGTTAATTGATGATTGAAATAATTAATCCCACAACGTGAAGTCGAAGAAAGTCATAGACGATAGTGTCACATCTGTCCCCACAGTGCCACAGCTAATTCCTTTTTAGTGCCGTGACGAAAGATAGTCCCATCGGTCCCATTCCTTTTTGTTGCCGAGACACAGGATAGTGTTACATTGATGGCACTGCAATAAAACGTCGTCTTCTTTGTCCTGGTGGCTTCTCGTCCACTCTTTCCCAACATGACTGGCAAAAAAGACACCCGCTTATTTTTCGAAAAAAAAGGCATATACATTGTATATTACACATTAAAACCTAAATTATTTAATTGATATACTGAACGAGTGTGTCCCACATAACAAACGATTATTTGATCTAAATGCTGCCAACTCACCCTATCCAAAATCAGAATTATTTTGGTTTATTTAGCCAGTTAACTGTTTTAAATTGTGGTATATTTGCAAGAGAGATGGCCTTTATTATTGTATTGTTTGTTTTCCCGTACATTTCTCCTGGCGGTATTATTTATTGAAGTATCTTATTGTATTAAAGGTGATTTATTTATAATTAAATCCAGTACGAAATCGTGGGATTAGACTTATCGAATGGGTTCATCGATTCATACTTAATCGTAAGTGTGGTCTGATAAACATTTACATAAATGACAGTTGTTTCCCCTTTATACTATTTGCATAACAGGAGGCAGACCACCATTAATTTCCCCATTGACTTCAATGTTAATTCTGGCCTCTTTGTCCGGCTCCAATGTTTCCCAAATTTCCATAGGGATGAATGTTTTTCACTACAGACAGAGAAACAAATGGTCATGCCTTTGGACCAAAATTTGTATGAGTTTTACCACCAAAATTTTGAGATACACACATTTGAGGAAACATACTAAAAAATGTAAGTATTCTCCGTACATATCACCGTAACCAACCTGATAACTCTGTTATCCTTTCGCCTCTAAATCATGAATATTTACCAAAAAACCTGGCAGAAAATGTTAATTTAACCCCTCTTCGTCCATTCTAGACCGAAAAATCAACATTATGGGCATGCAAAAGGAAAGAAATGAGACAGAGAGAGAATTGCTATAAATAGACGAACTACCCAGATGATGAAATCTAATGATGATCTGCCTCCTATATATGACAGTTGGTCCCCTCTTTATAACCCTTTGGCCACAGTACACAATTATTTCTCGTATCTTTGATCGGCTTTAACGTATGTATGTGGTTCACCATAGTAATCTTGAGATACACAAACTGGAAGTAGGCTATAATTAAACAAGCAACTTCCGGCCCTTATTCATTAAATATTCACCAAAACCTGGCAGAAATATATTCAAGCCTTTTTTTTACATTCTATAACAAAAACAAAGAGTCAACAAAAATCGCCATGCCAGAGAAGGAAAACGGGATAGGGAGAGGACGTCTATAAACAACATTTGCAGTGGGTAAGCAGCATAGTAATCAAAAGTGTCCTGCGTTCATGTAAACACAATTTGCCGCTATTGAGAGTAATGCCGATGTTATACAAACTGGGTGATTTAGTATTCAGATAGCGTACATTTTTATTTCAATAACCGTGGGGAAGCCATAATATCCGGAATAAACCCAGTAGATTAGATCATTAGGCTACACTATTGTTTATCAGGTACACACAAGGGAAGGAACCCATGACTTGATTTGGTAGCGTGCCTTGTAATATACAGGGTTCGTGTTAGATCACTGAACCACACGGCCTCGATGTACCTTAGGCAATTTTCAGGGAGCAAATAGCATCAACCCCACTTCATTCTCTGTGGTCCGATTAACAAATAGATCATAATTAAATCGTTTGCCTCATTAACCAGGGGATCTCAGGTTAGCTCTGGTAAGTTTTCCCGTAGTCAGTGGTACGGGAAAGAGGATCTGGGGAGAAAATTAAAAACAATTTCCCATGAGCACATCGGCGTGCACGTAAAAGAACCCTTGACAGTTGGAATTCGAAATAAGAGAAGTCCGTAGCGCCACTGTCCGGGCAACATTTCCTTCATAGCACACTGCTGGGCAAATGCCCATCTTCATTAGTCTGGATGGAGCATGCCAGTAGGACGTTAACCCCCATTTCATTTCATTTAATAAATTAAAACACAAATTAATTACATTTCCTTTTATTTACATATAAATTAGCTGCGAAAACTTCACACTTTCATTTATGTTCAAACTTATATTTATTTTCATTATTATATTTATTTATTTATTTATTTCATATATTTATTTATTTATTTATTAGTAAATCCTAGCCTAATCTACTCCAACTATCTACATACTGTTTGATAACAAATATTTACAATATTTACAATAAATGGATACACGGGCCGATTAAGTATAGGTGTTTACAAGACATGGGTATACGGGCCGAGTAAGTATCAGTTTTTACAAGAAATGGTATACAGGCCGAGTAAGTACCATTACGATTGTTTCCCAAAAATGGGTACACGGGCCGAGTAAGTACAAGTATTTTCAAAACATGGGTATACTGGTCGAGTAAGTACAAGTGTTTGCAAGGAATGGGTATATGGGCCGAGTAAGTACAAGTGTTTATAAGAAATAGGTACACGGGCCGAGTAAGTACGAGTGTTTACAAGAAATAGGTACACGGAGTAAGTACGAGTGTTTACAAGAAATGGGTACACGGACAGGGTAAGTTCGACTGTTTACAAGAAATGGGTACAGGGGCCGAGTAACTGCGACTGTTTATAAGAAATGGGTACACGGACCGAGTAAGTACAACTGTTTACAAGAAATTGGTATACAGACCGAATTATTACAACAAGTGAGAACAAGGACGACGTTATTACAATAACTGAGCATAACGAGCCAGTTATTACCATAGCCAGTTACAATAAACAAATTAGTACAATAACTGGGTGTAACGACCAAGTTATTACAATTACTGTTTGTAAGGACCAAAATACTACAATAATTTGGTATAAAGACCAAGTTATTAGAATAACGTGGTATAAGGACCAAGATAGTACCATAACGGTGTAGAATAAATGGGTTATGTCAATGTCTGGGTACTGGGACTGAGTTATTACAATAACTTGGTTCAAGAACCAATCTAATGCGATGACTGAGTACAAGGACTAAGATATTACAATAACTGAGTTTTAAGACCAAATTATTACAACAGCTGGGTTCAAGGACCAAATTTATTACAATAACTAATAAATAAATAACTAGCTGTTCTGACCAATATATTTCAATAAGTGAGTATAAGGACCAAAAACTAGGTATAAGGATCAAGTTATTATAATAATTGTGTAAAATGACTAAGTTACTGCAATAACTGGATACAAGGAAAGAGTTATTGCAACGACTGGGTACAAGGTGTTTTAACAGAATTTACGCGTTATCAGACCTTCACACTATGTACATATTTATCGGGAATATCAGGTATTGAAGAGATATATTATCGAATAAAAAAAATGCGGCAGACTTATCATGGGCCGTAGAAAACCAATCTTTTCCCTATGATGTCGATAATAGATCCTTTCATAAATGGTCGATGGTAGATCTTTACCTATATGGTCGATACTTGATCTTTTCATATGTAGTCCTTTCTTCCATTCCCTATCTGGTCGATATCCGATTTCCCTCTATGGTCCTTAATCTATTCCTCTATCTGATCCGTTGTTTAAATTTGGGAATCGAAACCACGCCACTTGACTCAACGAATGTTAGGTCGTAATTTGCTGTGGTTCAAATAAAAGGAGTTAAGGAATAGGGGTTAATCAAATCTAATACAACGTGGTTCTTTGTTGTCACATATAAATCAAACATAAGATAGACATTTCAATAAATATATATATAAACAGACACAATATATTCATATATACACTGTTCACTGTACAATATAAAATATGTGGAAGGGATTACTTCCGTCAACAGTTTGATTTGTCCCAAACAATTTTAAAATAGATACATTTTGTGTTATTTAGATTAACGGTGCTGCTTTCGTTTATGTCATATATAATGGTCTTCTAAGAACTAATTTTATATCTCTCTCTCCCGTGTGAATAAGCCCCATCACTTTTGTTTTCACCCACATCAAAGATATAATTGCGCCTTCCGAAAAGTTATTGTCAATCGGGAAATAAAAGCTTATTTCGCCATAATAATACCAAAGGCATTAATTTTGACAATAACCTTGTGATTTCACGTGCATGCGTTAAACCCACCTCCCCTCCCCTATACCAACACCGATTCGTCAGACGGAATCCAAGACTAATAAGTAAGTTTCTGTAGTAACCCTTTAAATTGGTTTACGGAATTTGCCGATGAATCCTGACTGAATTACCGCGTAAAAGAGGTTAGTATAAAGCATCTCGCTGATATAACATATGTACAAATATACATTTTGATTATAATTAACAAAAACAATCAACAAATAATTCTAATACATCCAAAGTCTTATTCATTGGCTAGAAGATAAAAAAAAATCCTAGTACAAATGTTCGATCTTACCCAATAAAACTATTGCATTCTAAAAATATTTTATGGATTTACCCGTTCCATTGGCTGGAAGTTAAAATCTTACAACAAATTTAACTCTTAGTTAATGAAACGATTGTATTTTACAAATGTTTTATTAATTTAGTCTTTCCAATGGCTAGAAGTTCAAATATCTAAGTATACCAATTTTTGTTCACGACCAATGAAAAGGTTGAATTCTAAAACTATCTTAAAGATACATTATGTAAGATTTAGATAAAGAGCTGACCGTTCCTGCTATTATAATTCAAACATAGATAATGCAAAATGAATACACTGAAAATTGCATTCAAATTACTTTAGTCTGAGCCAAGTTATCACTGTTTGTAGTTTTGACAAGATGTATTATCGTAACCACGTTACTGGGAAATTCAAGGTTTAGCCTCGCTTCTCCATTTTTAAATTAAATCATTAAATGTCCAAACCGTTCTAATCTACTTAAAATCTCGAGTATCCGATGGCTTATAGAGTTGATTATGGTCTTGCCATGTTAATAAAATGTAAAATAATAATTTAACCTCGCATCACCTTTTTAAAATTAAATCATTAATTAATGACCGAACCGTTCTAATCTAGTTAAAATCTTGAGTATCCGACGGTCTATAGAGTTGATTATGGTCTGGTCATGTTAATAAAATGTCTAATTAATAATTTATATATCATTTAAGGCCTAAGGAAAGACCTGCAAAAGGCAAATATAGCTCTTAAATAATGTATCTTTAAAGATTTAACCATTCCATTGGCTGTAAATCACCCTTGGTACAACGTTTACCACTCTCAAAATATTTCAGTTTCAGTTTCCGTGAATAAGGCTCATGTACTGATTTTATATTATAAAATCTTCTAACAGTTTATAACTACACACCCAGTTTTAATCCGAATATAACTGTTTGGAGAGCCTTGTCAGGCTGTGTCTACCACCTCAAGTCTGGCTCACATCCAGCACGGGTCGTTGGGTTTGGTAGCTCACAGACCAACAGCAAGAAACCGCTGTATGTGCAGGACCAAAAGATCTGGGGTCTGTTTTACGAAATTTTAACTAAGATAAAATCCAAATTTTAGTAATTTCATTGGATAATATTAGATTGATTTTAGTGCTTAGCCAATCAAAATTAAAGTATCTACTAACATTTGAATTTATCTTTAGTTAAGATTTCGAGAAACAGGGCCCTGATCTTCTACGGTGCCGAACACACGCAAGTGACGCGTATGTCTCACGTACGGGTTTACAAACATTTCCCCGTAGTTTGTCCGTAGTAGCACGCAGGATTGTGAGCTATGCTTAAGCTTTGGCGGGACCAAAAGTCTCTACGGTGCCGAACACACGCAAGTGACGCGTCTAGGCTTAAGCTTTCACATCTGATGCCATACAAGTGTATCCTTGTTCATTTTATCGGGAACGAAAACGACATCTGATTTAAAACAGGTTACAATATTATTGAATGTATATACATGTTTATAACAAAACACCAATACTTTATCCCGTGTTGTTGTTATTTACTTGAGAATTATCTCATTAAATTAGTCTTTATTTCTCATTGTTCTTGAGTTCGTCTTGCGGGTAACCACATTCATTTACTGTTATAGATAAACTACATTATTTCACAAGAGAATTCTTTACATTTCAAAATTAAGATTTAGAAATATGAGTTGGAATGGACAGCTACGATGTTCAGTCGAATTACTTCTAAAAAAGTTAGTCAAATAATTTAAATCCCATTTCTTTTCATTCATTTTCAGAGAAACGTTTGTTGAATTGGAAACAATCCGTTTGGCTTTCCAAACTTTTCAGCTGCATTTCTAGAAATCAACTAAATGATTACCCAATAATTGTGTTATATGAAGTCATGATCAGGCTAAGCCAAAAACTCTAAGGCCTGAGCAGTCCAAATAACTACACCTCTAAAGCTAGAAAAGATAAGATACGGATTCGGGCCTGTACTTCAAAACAATGCATATCAGATCGAACCCAGGAAATTTATGGATAACCAGTTTATCTTCAAAGACTATATTATTGTATCTTACGTCCTTCCTTTCAAGTCGATATATTAACTCCCATTTTTATTCGTTTAGTATTTCATTCGTAATAATTCCTACGAAAGACGTATTTAGTCCGCCATTTTACTTCTTCCTCTTAGTTCATTATTTATAAAATATGCAAATTCATTTTCACTATTTGCATAAGCACGGAAATCACCAACACTAATTCTCTTTTTTTTAATTGACACACATTTTACATAGATACAAATCATAGTTATCTCCCTTTAAATAATAATCCTCAGAACTATCACCATGACACCCTGCTAGACTATAGTTATCGCGTTATTAGACCCACCGGGATCACCAGTCTTATTGATAACTTTATACGTTGTTCCGTCACTCTCTGTTCGTGTGTATGGTTCATGACCCCGAGAATTACCCGCGGGGACATACGTATTCCCCCCAGGCCTGTCCCCCGGGTTAAAAGTAGTTAATGGTATATTGTTATATGGCGGCTCACCATGGGAACGATGTAATGGAGAAGAAGTTTGATTAGGAACTACGGCGTATGAATATCCTAATGAAGGTAGTTGTTTGCCGGGTATTGCTGATTTCGAGTTTATTTGGGGACTGTGATTATCTTTCACGGGGGACTGGTTACTTGACGGATTCGACATGAGACTAACACTCTCAACACAGGCAGCACCAGCGGCTGTTCGATTCTCCTTTTCAATTTTTCGGGATAATTTAACTTCGTCTGGATCCTCCTCGCGATCCTCCCGTTGCTGTCGTCGTTTCATTTTACGGATCCTCTCCCTTTGATAAAAGACGCCAGCGAAAATAAGAATATTTAAAAATAAGAGAGAACACCCGACCGCTACTGTGATGCTTAATGGGACGGAACTTTCAGACGAGTCGGAACTTTGATCGACCGGAGATATAACAGCCGTAGACTGTTCTTCAGGATTATGTAACGAAAAGGGGTTACTCCCCTTGATGATGGTCGAACCCTCTGGGGGTTGAACTAATGCCCTATTCCTGACATTGTCAGATGTTTCTTCAGGGAAGTTACTTTCAGTTGACCACTGTCCGCCTTTTGGTATGCTCCATGGCGTAGGTGCTATAGGGGGCATGGCGGGCGGCGATGGGAAGATATTTTCGAACGAGGGTATCAATCTGCTATAGTCATCGAACGAAGATGAATTATCCGAGTTGTGTAACAAATGCTGACTTGGATCCGAACCATCCGGTTTATCTATTTTAGGAATCAGATCCAACCACAGAGCTAGTTTCTGTCCTCTATAATGGTGGCGAACTGTTGGTCTTCGAGCTGAAATATAAATAGAATGTAAATTAATAAATAAATATTTCAAATGCACACTGTACAGTATCAAAATGAAAAGGCCGAGATTGGAAATCCAAAATGGTTGAATTCAGTTCAATGTATACAAAGAGAAAGGATTTCTACATAGACTAAGCCTGTTTCCCAATCCCATCGGCTAAGCCTGTTCCCCAATCCCATTCAGATATCTTGACTAAAAATATTGTTTATAAAAAATTAGTCTCTATCACCCAGAAAAGTATTCTACGAATATAAGTCTGGATGCGTTGTCAACATTTGAGAATAATAGGTCATTGGCTAGATTATCCAGTCTTTTACATTATCATAAACAAAGTCTAAGGGAGGTAACTAGCCTAAAACAAAATGTCGACGCCCATGAAATTAATTTAAGAATGCCATTTCAGAAAATCCATTTGATTGCATTGCCAGTTCAATATCCAAAACTCGTATTTTTTATTGTAAAATTTCTCTCTTCATAGTCCATATTTGTGGGTTTTATTATTTAAAAATTAAACCTAATTCGTCGTCACGAATCATGTTCGTTTATGTTTGTGAAAGAATTATGGGATTTATTGCGGGAAGAGTCGAAACTCTTACTTGACGTGACTAAAGATACTGGATAATCAACCACATAAAAAACCAAATTCCCGGTTACGCATGGGCAATGGAACATTTCGTCAAATATTGACAACGGTCCCAAACCCTCCGTACGTTAAAGACTAGGGGATTCTGGCTGACCGAGACTAACGAAAAATTTACAAAGTAATAATATGGAGGACAACTACCGTTTATCATTGAGCTACGTTTCAGGCCAATCGTCACTCAGTAATCCGGAATTATGTTTGGTTTATGTGTAGTTTAATTGTATTCAGCAGTTGGATCAATTTGTAGATCATTTTAAGCCTGTCGTTCTTTAATGTGACGCACACCCTATGGTAATCGTGATGACGGATCGGTTGGTAGGCCACGAAACATACGCCCATATCTAGGCCGCCCGAGGTTCACAATGATCGTCATAGTCTTTTGTAGGTAATGGGACACTAAACATTCGATTGGCTGCTAGTTCTTCCTGTGTATGAATTTAACCTTTAATGTGTTCACAAGATTTTGTAAATTGATCAAAAGTCATTTCACAGACAGTAATTCTACTGGTTCAATTTCATTTCAATAATTCGCTTCCGCGTAGGGATCTTTAGCAGTGGGAGGTAGCCTGAGTGCCCGGAGAAAACCCACTGCTTGTAACGAGAGAGAGAGAGAGAGAGAGAGAGAGAGAGAGAGATTTAACGTCCACTCGGACAAACTAGGTCATTCTGGAACTAACATATGGCTCGCTTCTATTCAAATTTATCACTTATGGGATGGGACAGCCCATTCTAATCGAATCAAACGCGCTAAATCATTCGGCCACCCAACCCCATTAGGAGTTTCGATGTAATAACATAAACACTGTGTATCAACTTGAAGTATAATGCGAAAATGCGATGGTGGACGAATTGTCGGGCGAACGGACGAAGTGGATACCGTCTATATATGACAATATCTCAATTTGGGGGTATGCAAATTAATCGCGAATATCTTTATACATGGTGTATAAATGGTAATTACAACGAGTGACGTTATTAATTCCACGGCAGAAATAATCCCTTATTCAACCTTTCTTTTAATAGTGAATTGAGATGGGGTTTATCGTCCTGGTTTTTTGCACCTACTGGGCTAATGAAAACGGGTGTACGCCATATAGTATACTATTCCTTCTAACCCGATGGGTTCTTTTACGTGAACGCCAACGTATAGGCGGCTTTTCGCGTCCATTTTGTACGACTAGACGACGCCCTTGCCAGCGAGCGAGCCAACTACTTACTCACTGACCCACCATGTCGCCCTAATACAAAAATAATGGCCGTGTTATTTATGGCCGAGAGTTAACAAAACAACCATTTGAGTTGTGTCTACAATATCTGTGAATTCAGTTAAAAACTGCTAAACAGAACATTAGTTTTTTAACCGATTCTGTGGACATCTAAATATCAATTTTCTCTTTAGACAATAAATAGTCTGGCGTTCTTAAAACAACCATGTCGATAACCTTAATCGAAAATTATTTTGAAGACAGAGAAAAAACATGTGCGTGGGTAGGTGTGTCGCGTGTTTCAACAATAAATGAGATGAGAGACGCTAACAGATATTCTACTAAAGGAAGCACACCCAATCTAGTGCACGACAGCTAGTACTGTTTATAACAATGTTTGTTCAAAGATAACAGCGATACGAATGTGATGTTTAGTGAAATGAAATGAAATGAGTTTTAACGCCCTACTGTTCTGCTCCGACTGGGCTAATGAAGACGGGCATACGCCATATATTGTGCTATGAGGGAAATTTTGCCTAGACAGCGGCGCCGCGGCCTACTCTTCTTGCGAATTCCAACTGTCAAGGTTTTTTTTTTACTTGCACGCCAATGTGTACACGGGAAGTCGAGGTTTCGTCCGATCCGAACGACTAGACAGCTGTCGTGGTCAGACCCTCCGTCCTGCACCACTGACAATAATTCGTTTGCGCGTAGGAGTCATTCGCAGTGGGAGGAAACCCGATGACTCGGAGAAAACCCACGAGATTGGGCAGGCGACCCTACTCTTTATCATGTACAAATTTAACCATGCCACTTGACTCAATGACAGACCCTATGGTATAAAGCGTACACGTTAAACCACTCGACCCCCACCCCCAATTAACCACTATACATTATCGCTAACCAGAACAAATTATGAGAAATACAACCTTAAATTCTAATTCATTTTATCTCTGTCACTTATTTAATGTTCTCGTATCTACGACATTGTGAAAGAAGTTCTCTCGTATTGTATGTGTGATGGCATAGACGGAATTATTGAATAAAAGTATGTCTGAATTGAAATTAAACCCAGAACGAAAATAAATCAAACATATATTCACTATTTAGACACTCTATTTAATCTTGTACACAGTCGTCTTCCTTTCGCTCGATTTCCGATCCTTAATCTAGATATGATCGGTAGACTAAAGATTTGGCCGAATGGAAAATTCATTTCTCAACCAGAAACGAAATATAAATTACATCAATAAAGTATATATGTTGGTAAAAAAAAAACAATCCCCATTTTGACACAGTCGTTTATTTTTTGTCTGTCCAAAATAAACCACATATGAGAATAGATATTATTTGAAGATTTTACCGTCGTCCCTTTGTTTCGTCTGTCCAATACTCTAAAGTATACGAGTGTTTTTTTTAAAAAAAAAAAACACATCAAAATGAGAGAATATAGTCGTCCATACACCGTCATTTATTTTTGCCTGTCCAAATGAAACAAAACTCAAATGAATAAGAGACTGGCGTTAGTGGAACATTGGAACACATTCGTTTATTTTTGTCTGTCCAATATTCTGAAGTATATGAGATGTGACAGAAAACACCATACAAATAAGACAATAGAGATATTCGTACATATTCCGAATCGCACCCCCACCCCCAACTTCTTCCCGACCGAAATCAGACAGAGACTAGAACTGTTAGACGATCGGAATACATTCGTTTACTTTTTTCTCTGTTCAATATTATAATCTGAACCCGTGTCATCAAGAAACCTCAACAATGATTGTCAGAATTCTATTTTGAATGAAATCAAGACAATCACGCGTCGTTTATCTTCTTCTTTAGAAAACCGGGAATCTTTCAGACACATTTTCTTGGACAAACGGAGAGATTATCCAGTGGGTCACCGAAAATGCTTAACGCTGTTTGCATAAGAAAATAGATTTTTTAAAAAGTCAAAATGTCTTGCGAACAGTCATTTTGGAACTAATACGTAGTTCTTCGTAACAATGAGGTTTCTAGACAGCCTTTGTTAAGGACTCAGATTGTTAAAAACACCACCAACGAGGTCGTAGTATTAGGGAATGATAAATTAATAAAGGTGCTTTGAAAATGAAAATGCCTTATCCATTAAAAAAATACCAGTCATTTTTGTGTTCAAAGACTAGACAGAAAACTGGCAAGTTACACGATTTTATATCCATCGCCAATATCCTTCGCAACTGAATATGAATGCATAGATAGGGTTTTTTCGGAAACCCTTCGATTGAACAACCGTATAAAATTATATTTGGAACTCCAGTGGCACAGACAGGGCCAGGTGTTTCATTTCGTCATGAGATAAACATTCTTCTGCTACAACATACGGTAACCATACCACCGCCAGTGGTAACAGATTCTTAGTTTTGGCGGGAATTCTTCTGGTACTAATAGAACCAGAAATATGTACAAACAAACATCAACATGTGGTTACCATAGAGATGGAATTAGAAAACATTTGTTAAGGAAACAATTTAAGACAAGGGAGGGTCTTCTCGCTATTAACCATTCTTGCTGTTCTTTACATATCTGTGGAGTTCTTGCATGGGATCAATCGGTAAAGCTCAGCAAATTCCCCATTTCACGAAAATATCTTCGTATGTTAGCCTTATTTTGAATGACTATCTACCAAATTTAGCAATCAGTCTTCCGGCCAGTGCCGACAACTTCTGGCAATAATAAGTAGCAGATCTATACGTCGTTTTTTTATTGTTTTTTTTTTCTTTAAGTTTATTTCAAAGTTCTCATACATTTTCATAAATTTGATGTTTTTCGAGTAGGATTTGGAGTCTTCGAGTAAATTTGATGTTTACGAGTTAATTTTGATGGGTTCCAATACTGACACTACTGGAATCTTAAATCAATCGTTATGAAAACTTCAGATCTGTGCTTAGCGTGGAATATAAGACTTTGATCATGCTCTCAGTTCATTTTACGCGTAATAGACGATGGTTAAAAAATTTAGTCCGCTGTCGTTATACATTCAACTGTGTTTAATACACTGAAGATATGCAGACAATAACTTAATTTCCTCTCCCACGGTTGAAATTCGACGAAGAGTACTGGGTTTTCAAGGTTAACCAATTATCACATTTAATACGGAAATGTTATTTTAACACAGTAATTAATGACAAAGAAATGTGAAAGAACTAGAACTGAAGTCATCGTTGTTGCAGAAAGATTAACACGAAAATGGATCCTAACTTTATAACGTATGTACAGGACTCGCACTGGCTTATTCCGGTCCTGCTGTGGAATACAACACCCAGACAATGACTGTAGTTGTTTAGAATATGAAACGCATGGATTGGATAAAGTCTATGTTAATAACTACCAAGAAAACTTAAATACTATTTGTTATAAGAAGTTCATACACATATCCTCACAATGATATAACGAGTTGGTCTCGGTCTGGGACCGTTGTCGATATTTGACGAAACGTTCCATTGCCCATGCGTAACCCTTTCGTTTTTTATGTGGTTGATTATCCAGTACCTTTGGCCAAGTCAAGTAAGAGTTGCGCCCCTTCCCGTAATAAATCCCATAATTCTTGCATTATTATAAACAAACATGGATCGTGATGACGAATTAGGATTAATTTAAAAATAGATATGGCCATGAAGAGAGAAATTTTACAATAAAAATTAAGAGTGTTGGATATTGAACTGGCAATGCAATCAAATGGATATTCTGAAATGGCATGCTTAAATTAATATCATGGGCATCGACATCTTGTTTTTAGGACTAATTATCCCCTTAGACTTTGTTTTGATAATGGAAAAGACTGGATAATCTAGCGAATGACCTATTATTCTCAAATGTTGACAACGCATCCAGACTAATACTCATAGAATATTTTTCTGGATTATTGAGACCAATAACGAGTATGTACATGTACAAAAAGAAGTATACGTAAACTATGTATGGCATCTACTATTCTAATCTAAAAAATAAAAGTATATATTTTAATAATATTCTCGAGACAAACAAATAAATTGAAAAGCCATGCAATCACCATCATTCATCTTTTAATTTTCAATACCAGATCACCCCAGCCCTGTCCTTGACTTTGACCCCCACCCCAGTTCTTAATTACTCCCACATCACTCCATCCCCAGTCCTTACCTTACCAACATACCTCTCCCCCCAGTCCTTAACTTACCTTCATAACACCCCACCCCAGTCACTAACTTACCAACATGCCTCTCCACCCCAGTCCTTAACTTACCTTCATAACACCCCACCCCAGTCACTAACTTACCAACATGCCTCTCCACCCCAGTCCTTAACTTACCTTCATAACACCCACCCCAGTCACTAACATACCCACATACCGCCCCCCCCCCCCAGTCATTACCTTACCCACATACCTCTCCACCCCAGCCCTTGCTTTACTCCCATAACACTCCAAATCAAGCCTTACCTTACCCACATACCTCTTCACCCCAGCCCTTGCCTTACTCCCATAACACTCCAAATCAAGCCTTACCTTACCCACATACCTCTCTACACTATTACCTTGCTTATCTCCATAACACCTCACCCCAGTCCTTACCTTACCCACATATCTCTCCACCCTAGTCCTTAACTTACCCCCAAAACACCCCACCTCAGTCATTAAGTTACTCCCATTACACCCGACCCAGTCCATAACACCCCGCCCCAGTCCTTACCTTACCCCCATAACACCCCACCCCAGTTCTTACCTTACCCACATACCTCTCCACTCCAGTTCTTAACTTACTCCCATAACACTCTACCTCAGTCCCTAACTTACCTACATACGTCTGGACCCCAGTCATTTACTTACTCGCATATCACTCGACCTGTCCTTTAGTTACTCCCATTACACCCCACCCCAGTCCTTAACTTACACCAACACCACCCTACCCCAGACCAAAACTTGTTTACGGACGATGAAAGGCGAGAATTAGGGCTTTAACGTCCAGTTAACACGACCCGGGATCCCAGTCCTCTTCGCCTACATTGGTGGAATGGAAACCGAATAGGTGACAGTAAAGTGTTGGTGGACACGATCCAAAAAGGGGCAAAACAGGAAATGAGTCTTTCGATAGTTATGTGCGCACTAATATGAGGAAGAGAATTGTACCAAACGGTTTCCCCAATATTCTTATCGATTATCAGCATGGAAATGTGTATACGGGTGGAACTGGGTTTTTGTTCCACCCGAACGACTGGGTTACAATCTAGTTGTTTTGTCCCATCGAAACCTGGACCTACCAAGCTATTTAGTGTATTACTGGCAATACGGTAAATGGAAAAATCCACTAATTAGTGATTTAGAATTTCACGAGTTTTCAAGAATTGATATTAGTTAAATGTCATTTAAATGCAAACTAAAACCATTTCAAAAACTCAACAAAACAAAAACTTCTAAAAAAATTGGCTGTTCTTGGGAAATAAAATTTAAATAAATACTGTAGAAAGCTTTTCATGCTTATACGGTTGTAGTGTCCGGCTAGCCATGCTGAATTGAAACAGCTAACCATGCTGGGATTAAATGGGCATGGGGTAGGGGTTTGGACTGGGGCTGGTACCTGTCGTATTGTTGGATGGGCCACACCCTGGACAGAGCGGCGCATCAGACCCACCTATTAACAGAAACTGTTGGTTCTCCAGATCAAACTTGGGCCAATCGATGTTGACGAATCTGTTTTTCACTCGTCCACCATGAAGTGATGTCTGATTTCGTGGTAGGTTAGGATCACTGGAAGATAAATCAGAGAAAGACGAACTGTTAGTGGTTTATTTGATTTATTTGAACTAAGGAGCTGTCTTAAAATTAATTTAAACAGAAAATTACGCATAGCTTTCAAAACTATTCTAGCATATTAATCAAAGCCGAAACAGCGCGGAACCACGGTTGCTCGGTGAGTATTGTGTTGTGTCACTAACCAAGAAAATGAAATGAAATGAAATGGGGTTTAACGTCCTACTGTTTTGCTCCGAACGGGGCTAATGAAGACGGGCATGCGCCATACAGTGTGCTATGAGGGAAATTATGCCCGGACAGCGACACTACGGCCTACTCTTTTATCGAATTCCAACTGTCAAGGATCTTTTACAAGCACGCCAATGTGTACACGGGACCTCAGTTTATCGTCTCATCCGAATGACTAGACAGCTATCCTTGTCAGGCCCTCCGTCCTGCATCACTGATAAGGGGGAATCACGCCGGAAAATCTGGATGAACTTTCTCGACCAATGCAGGGATCGAACACCCGACCTCCAGGCTAGCGAGCCAGCGTCTTACCCACTTAGCCACCGTGATCCCCCCCCCTCACTAACCAAGAAGTCCCGGGTGTAATTTCGGATTAGAAAGAGAACGCTTCTCGGGTTATTATGTTAAAGATCCGCTTACAGTTAAAATCGAAAGAGTTGTAGGTCGGATTCAGGGCAACAATGTTCCTCGTAAGATGTCCTATACCGATATTTCATTAGCCCGCTTGGCAAAGAAAAGTAAGACGTTAAACCCCTTTTCCTTGTATTGCCAACTCATGGTTTGGCCTTACCAGAAAATATTCACAATATTCTGAAGCTGAACCTGTTCAGTGATTCGGTCTATACCCAGAAGATAAATGGTCTTCCTATTGACATAAATCTAACTCTAGTTCAGTTAAAATATGCACATACATACAAAAATACAGTCAGTCAAAGGAATGAAAAAATGTTGCCTGCAACGTAAAGGAGGGAGAAGTTATTAATCAAGATGCCGATTGAAGCTTTGCGCCAATAGACCAGTGTCGAATTCAAGCCATGAAAAGCGAACGGTTGCATTCATTGTGTTCTAGCGAACGACTCGAAGATTCTCTGTTATTCACGCCAGTAAACGTTATCAGGCTGATGTAAATAGCCCGCGTCCGACTAACATGTCTATACTCCATTGATCTCTACCAAATAAATGCCGACCATTATAAATATTTGTGGCAGTAAAAACCAGGAGTGACAGAAGATCGAATTATTTCATCAGATTAAAGATGACCATTCTGACCCGCGAGGAATAAACATGAAAATTATCCTGTTTTTCGTCCTGTAGTCAGTGTTTGTGCTCGATGGTAGTTTCGGGAGATTGATTGCATTTTGTACTCCTCTAAATTGATTTTGGGTGAAATGGAACTTCTAATAGCCTCGACGAAATCATTTATTTCTAATTCAACTTGAATTTATGAGAGAGATTTAAAACCATTTTACCCGCTTCCATTTTAATCTTTGATAAATTTCATTTATAAATCTTAATCAAATTCAGTTTGTCATACGATTTGATGTTAAATCTAAATTATTTTTATGGAGTAAACAGTGCATAAATAGTTCTATGCTTTCATATTTATCAGTAGGATTTTAAATTCTACTTAATACCGCCAGACGAATTTATGGCCCAATCTATTCGCCCATTAATTGTGGGGGAGCTACGGTGGTTCTGTGGTTACAATGCTGGCTTGATCCCTGTGCTGGCCGATATATATTTCATTGTGGTTTCCCATTCCGAAGCAGGATGGGGCCTAGAGGTTAAGTGGCGTGAATGAAATGCATATTGCAGGGTGAGGAGTGGGTGTACACCTCCTTCATAACACACTACATGGTACATACCCCGTGGAGAAAAGTAGGGAGCTAAACACCATTCCATTTATTCTGACGCTCCCAAAATCTACACCCACATTCTCTCTCTCTCTTTCTCTCTCTGCGTATAATCTAGGCTTCGAACTGATGCCTATTTTGGTTACATTCTTTCATTCAGATGCGCATGACTTCAGATCATATTGCAAGTGCCTTTAAACTGATGGGAATTCTATGATAAATTGTAAATGTTAATTTGTTTTACATCACCTCCCAAGTTAAATTCTCATTGCTTGCCGTAAGAGAGGGGGTGAGAGGGCGAAATGCACAACGCGTGCTCTTTAAATCATAAGGTCTGTCATTGAGTCTAGTGGTGTGGTGTCGATCCAACACTTGTACTTGACCAGGAGTAAGGTCGCATGTCTAACATCGTGGTTTCCCGTGGATCTTTCTCTCTATTTCTCTCTCTCTCTATCTCACACACACACACACACACACACTATCTCTCCCCCCTCCCTTTCTCATTTCCATTCTCTTGTCGTAAGATGATCTACGTGCAACTAAACGCAAACCATCTGCTGTATTTTGTTTTAGCCTCAAAATGACCACCATTGATTCAATAGAATTAAACATACCCATACCACCAGACACAGCAGACGAACACAAGAAAATAATTCGATAAAATAGTTCTTAAAATAAAGCAGCAACCAGCTCACTGTTATTAGAACCCACTCGACCTTCGTGATTCCAAGTCACCGTTTTATTGAATCTTTTCGTCTCCAATCTAAATCTTTGAATTTATAAAAATTGGTTGAGGGAAATGAAATGAGGGGTGTTATTAATTTTACCGCCAAACACCAACCAGGTTTATATTTGCGCCAGACATTCATATTTTTTTCCAGCATTTCTTTTTAAAATAAGAATCGTCTTTTATGATCGTGAGATCAATCGTGTTAATATACGGTCGCATGGTGACAGTTCTATTATAGCTAGAGATGTAAAGCACTACAGATTAAAGATTGGGGTTAAACTTGCCACAACACAACATCATAGTCATAACCACCTTATAATTCCAAAACGGGAGCCGCTGTGGCTCGGTGAGTAAGACGCTGCTTCACTAACCAGGAGGTTTTCTCATGTCAGTGATGCAGGACGGAGGGTCTGACAAGGGCAGTTTCTAGTCGTGCAGATGGGACAAAACCGGGGTCCCGTGTACTCATTGGCGTACACGTAAAAGACCCTTGATAGTTGGAATTCGAATTAAGAGCAGGCTAAAGTGCCGCTATCCATGCAAAATTTCCCTTCTAGCACACTGTATGGCGTGTGTCCGTCTTCATTAGCCGACTCGGGACAGAAAAGTAGGACGTTAAACCCCATTTAATTTAATTTTTTTTCCTTCGAGTTATATTCTGGCGACTGGAGGGTTACTGATGACAATGCTATGGCAATGGGGGTGCGTAACGCTTCTTGAACCACGGACATTATTATTAATCTGATATCTGATACCAGAGCAACTGAGTCGACATCGATGCTGGTGTTGACCGGTGAAGTTCCCCAGGATTACCCACGCTGGGGACACATGGCTTATGTCCATCTTCATTAACCCGGTTGGTGCAAAACAAGTAGGATGTTTAACCCCACTCCATTTCGCTTCATCTCATCACAATGCTTATGACGCACTTTGTAGCCGCCCCGTTTCAAATAGAAAGGTGGACTATTTTAATCAGAACTTACCCTGTTTTGGCAAAATTTGTCCAGTACGTCATCACAGCTTCACTGATCATCCTTTCAGCATTTGTATAAGTCGCCGGAAACGGCGAGATACCACCAACTAGAGGAGCACCAAACACGTAAGGTAGTTCATCGCCATGGATACCATGCACATTTTCTGTTAAACTTTCTTCAGTTTGGGTTGAATAACTGAAGGCGTAGAGATACGTTTCTGCCGTCTCAGCGTGATACTGCGCCGCTTTGATCAGCGGAGCAACATACTGTCCGTCACTAAGCAGTTCCAGGATATTATTGCGCTTACTAAGCTTATCCGACATTCGGTTCCAGTCCGTGTAATGGTGGTCTAAAATTTCGTATATTTTTTGTCTATGATATTTGAACACATTTTGAACATAAGTTCTAATCATCTGGGATTTTCTGAATTCCGAAATCCCTTTCGTAATCTCGTGTTGTTTAAGGTAAGAATAGGCTTCGTTTTTTGTAATTCCAAACATCACTTTGGCTTCCGCAAATTTGGACTGTTTCTTTTTCATAAGATCCTCCACCTTTTTTGGTAAAACACTCCACCCATCAATAGAGGGCGCAAAACATGAATAGTACTTAGGCGGAAGTGGCACTGCATTCACTAATTCCGACCAGGAACGTTCTCGTAAACATTTCACTAAAGCACGAGAGTTTGAAATATGGCGGGAACAATTTACATTAACTGCTAACTTTTGTGTGCACCATACTGGATCGTAGGAGACCGCCCAAGTGCTGAGAGCCGATCCACTCTGGACAATGGCGTTCTGGAACAGTGGTCCGTGGCCTTCTAGAAAAAATGGCATACGAGTTATCCCGTTACAAACACTTTGTCTTAGGGCTTAAAGGTGTTAGTAGGTGTTAGTAGCCCAACCTCATCTTGACGAATCAAGTCAAGACTTCCCATTGTTAAACATTTTTATATGACGTGGTATTTATATTTCTCATTTTTTATATTATCAGTTAAAGAAGCATTATGCAAAAGCTAAATCTGCCTATTGCAGATCTTTCTTTGGGCTTCAAATGTTATATTAACTATTATTTAACCATTTGTTCACATAATCAACTCTCTAGATCACTTTCAAAGAGCGATAACGTCGCCCGGATTAAAGTAATTTGAACGATCTTATCAATATATTATTCATTATTTATTTCTATTTTTAAACTATTCTAGCAAGAAGGAGCAGCTCTTTTCCTAAATCTTACATAATGCATCTGTAATTGAAACTATATTATATTATTAAACCCTTTTTTTTATGAAGTTGTATTTATAAGTTCATATTATCACAGGAAAAACTAAATATTATTTTTGATTAAAACCCTATATTATTCTATTTTATTTTTGATTAGAACTATATACTATTGTTAAAGCTTTTATATGAAATTATATTTATAAGGTTCCTATTATAAATTATGGGTAGAAAAATTACGCACTATCTTTTTGTTTAAATTTGGTCTATTTGCCTTATCTATTCCGTTTATTTATTTGTGTTATTATACATTGATGGTTCACGAATTTATGTACTCATTTAAAGAGTAGGTTATTATCTAAAAATTCTTACTTATGTATCATTGCTTGCGAAAGGTGCAGTTAAAAAACCTAGTGAATATTATCCATAAAGATGTCTGTGATTTTATAAACCATAAGCAATTAGTTCAAATTTATTTGTATTTACTTATACTACAACGCACGCTTATATTCATTTATTACGTGTTAATTATCAATTTCCAATGAGTTTTAAATGTTCATAATTTATTTACAATATAATGCACATCTATATTCATTAATTATGCAGTTTTTATAAATTTCCAATGAGTTTTGAATGTTGATAATAGGTTAAATAAATAATAATTCACAGTTTAATTTCATATTCAGAATTTCAAAATTAGTATCCTTTTAATCCCTTTGTATAGTTATTTTATTATTTTATTTATTTTTTAAATGCTATAAAACATACCAGTTAATGAATACACACACATATAATATACATTAGAAACAAGGAATAATTAAATAAATAAGGAATAATTGAATAAATAAATTAGCGGATGTCATATTCCATTTTGATGACATTTTAACTGACTTGATGATAGTGTGCTGAATGCCTTTCCGAGTTTGAAAAAGACCATATTAGAAATATTATTCAAGTTTGTGGTCAATGGGACTAGGAATTACTAGCTGTTCAGTCGGCGCTAAACAGGTTAAACCCTGCGATGTATGTTTATGGGAGTTTCATGAATCCAGAAGTAGTATAACTCTGAATCAGGAAGTGGAAGTGCCCTTAATTTCAGCCACGGGCAGCCACCTACCCCGCACCAACAAATGGACAGAAAGTGATAGTCACAAACACATATAAATACATGAGTCCTATACAAGGCGTTGCTGGTGTCACTGATTCGAAACAGGAAAAGGATTTTTATCATGGTACATTTAATAAATTTAAAACATATAATCCTAACTAAAATAAAAATGAGAAAAGAAATTATAAATTGCATTAAAATTTGAAAAAAAAAACCCACACATAAAAAACTATACAATAAATGAATAAACTGAATCCAAAAGTGTATTAAATTATATTTCCCATTCACTCACCCTGGACAAACGGTGATAATAAAATAAGATTAACAATGGCGGCACCGTGACCATGACCAAATAAGGTAACACGACCCGGATCACCATTAAAACTGACTATGTTTTCCTTCAACCAATGAAGAGCTTGGATTATATCTAGTTGTGCATAGTTACCCATTGCGGAGTTGTCTCCCGTGGCAAGAAAACCTGAAAATAAAGGCAATCAAGATTAAAACATGCAGTCATGTTAGAGTGTATGACACAATGAATCTAAATCGTCAGTCAATCTCCAGCATACCTGGAACTGACACACCCTCAATTGATATTGTCATGGGAACAATGATTTGTTCTAACTGTGAAAGGGTACCCCACTTCAAAATGGAGACGTTCTATGAGGGTTACAACAAGGATCCATGTCACGCAGGTTTCGATTCCCCGGTTGTACGTGACTAGACCCCTACGTGCAAGCGAATTATTGAAATAAAATCAAACCATATACTAGTCACGAAATGACCTACTTTGTGTCGAGTTGGCGTTAAACCGCCTCTTCCTGTTGCGAATAGATAGCTGGACCATCACCATTTAATGATATTTCTGTGGTACTAAAACACCAATGGTAAGAAACACTAGGGTTACCGATTGCTCGGCGAAAATGTCCCTATTATCCATCAGATACTGAACAAGCATACACCGACCCACACCCTCACCCGACAACAATTTAGCCGAACAATCTATAATGCACGTTTAAATCTTGAGACATATTTTTGATATAAACCCCATTCAACCCACCTAAATTAGGTGTAAATATCTACCCGAAGTCTTGGCACATTTAACAAAGTTGACCAAATTGCTCCACACAATCGTGTCTGCTCAAAATTAGCAAGACGCTCGCGCGAAGTATTTTTCTTTCTTTGCGTTAAAAGGTTAGATAACTTTTGACAATGCGTGATAAAAAGATACGCCCTTTTCTATTCGAGCAAATTTAGGATTTGAATTTTCTAAGATGGTAGAAATGCTGCCTGTAAACATCTTGTCCAACTTATTCAGACTAGCCGAGTGGGATAATTCAATCGGTAAGCTACGGCATTGATTTTTCCCAGGCGCAAATCGAAGGAATAATATTTTTATTGGTTCGTAAAATGGCTGTATTTAGCCCAGAGCTGCTTTTAACTATTGTATAGAAAAAGTTAATAGTAGCGGTGACGATGAATGGCATACACCAGATAAAATTGTCCACCGAGCGCGCTAAATTACACGGGACAGATCAAAGACTGAATAGGCACTCACGGACTTTTAAAAGCTTTTAAAAATCTGGTTTTAATCTTTGATAATATAAAAACAGAATTCCAGTAACTGCCACAGGACAAACAAAATGAAATGAACGAGGAAAAGCGAGAAACTCGGATGAAATTTAAAGATAACGAAAAAACAAAATCAAACTCGAATAACGTAAATGGTAGCGATGACATGTTCGTAAAGCAATGGTTAGGAACATTAGTAGCGCTTTAACCACTGCTAATCCTAGTAGCAAAAGGAAGAATCGAATAACGAAAAATACAGTAATTCCACGTGACTATATTATTCCTAAAGCAGTGTTAGGAACATTAACAGCACTGTTACATTGTTTTCATATTTCTAGATGATCAACCAACCAGAGAAGGCTTACTCTCCATTTAAAGGGGCATTAGGTAAGATTAGATAAAGAACTGACAGTTCTCACTATAAGGGTTACAAAATAGATAATGAAAACAGAAACTGCTGAACATTTCAGACAAATTGCTTCACACTGAATCAAGATATTAACGATTCATTTTCGGCCAGCCTAGATCTTCTTTACTAACGTTGGTTCTATAATTAACAAAGTCTCGATTATCCATTTTTACGTTAAATTATCCATCACAAAATGCATTCAAATCCACTAAGGATTGAAGGCTAACCATGGCATCGAGATTTGATTATCTCGTTGATCAGTTAATTAATGTCTATATAATTATTACTTTAGATAACATTTAAGGCCTAAATAAAGACTTGTAATAGGCAGATTTGGCTACTGCATAATGGGTGTTTAAGTTTCAAAACTTGAATCATTCTCATTAGTGATGCGCCGTCTTCTACGTGTCATAAACGGGAAGTCGAGAAAATAATTTTAGTATATAACATATACTACTTTCTGTATTGGTACCGTTACCGAACTACTAAATATTGTCCTCAATAGCCCGGTTGCCGCAGACAATTTCATCTAGTGTCCGCAGACACTACCCCGGTTGTGCTCGGCCAATTTGAATTTAGGTGAGGTCAAAATAAAATGAAATGGGGTTTAATGTCCTACTGTTCTGCTTCGACTGGGCTAATGAAGACGGGCATACGCCATACAGTGTGCTACGGCCTACTCTTGAAATCGAATTCCAACTGCCAAGGGATCCTGTACTTGTGAGCCAATGTGTACACATGACCTCTGTTTTTCGTCGCATTCGAATGACCAGACAGCTCTCCTTGCCCAGACCCTCCACCATCTACAGGGGGGAACCACGTCGCAAAATCCCGATAACCTTTCTCAGACAATACTGGGGGCGAACTCGCGACTGCCAGGATAGAGAGCGTGCGTCTTACCCACTTAGCCACCCTGGTGAGGTCAAGGGATATTGTTGTAAAATAAGGTAAGTCTACTACTACTAGTACTACTACAAAGGTGATACCGCAGACAATATCGGAAGTCTACTCCCACTGGTAAAATATAGACTTACCTAACACCCCAACTCTGTAGTTTAATGTTACTACTATCACATTACCATAACTGGCAAGAACACTTCCATCATATGCGTTTCCGGTTCCGGTGTCGTATGATTCACCATGAACGAACACCATTACGGCAAAAGGAGATGTTTCGTTCCATTCTGAAAAATATAGATAAGAAGAAAATTTTAGCAACTAATAAACACATATTACTAACACACAATTAAACAGCAGAGTTTAAATGTGGGCATTGTGAAACGTGGCTCGTTGTGAAATTTAAATTTATTATAAGAAATGGAAGTGATTAGTTAAGTCCTACTCGCAGCACGGACTGGACTAATGACAACGGGTATATGCTATGATGTTCCACTGCCTACTCTTATATCGAATTCCAACTGTCAATAGTTCTACGTGACCTCGGTATTTCCTCCCATCTGAAAAACTAGACACTTCTCTGTGGCCTGCATTGCTGGCAAGGGTGGGGGGGGGTTCTTGGCCAAAACCGGGAGCCTCTGTGTAGCAGCGTCTTACTCACTCAGCCACTGTATTTCCCGAAATTTAAATAAGGACATGGCTTTCAGAGCACTCATTATTGGTATCTTCTTTACACATTAGTACATGGATATCCGAAAATTGATTCGCTCCATCAATTTGTCTTTCGTTTCGTGTATTTCTTTCAAAATTCTCCGACATGAGTGTAAAAATATCATGTTTTCTTTGTTCTGATTTGAATTAGATAACAATAGTTCCCCTGCATTCGTCAATCATATCAAAATGGCGTGAAGGAAAGAAACTGTCTCTATTAACAAATTCTCGCCAACATCATGTTTAACAATTTTTTTTAAAACTTATTTTTTGCCCATTTCTATATACAAAAAATGGCCAGTCGAAACCAGTTGTGATAAACGAGTATTTTAACTGCTTGACGCGAAATTTTTCCAACTAAATTGGATGGAATCAGTATATGAAAGGGGGAATTGAGTTGAATCCAGCCTTAAGTGGAAGTTAATACTTCGACAGCGAAATCATTTATAAAAGCAATAGCAAAACGTTGTTAACATTCTGACATTCCACAAATTGGAAAAATTCAAATCGAGATGTCCGCAAATTACCAAATGTCATGTCGGGCTTTTAGCGCCGAACGGCACGTGGAGTGCAATCTCAATTCGAGGCAATCATAGCCAATTTTTAGTGGGGTTTTTACAGCTCGTTGTCTTGTATACTTTATGCACGGCGTGTAGTCACGCGATCTACAGAGGCTAAACTTTAATATAATTAACAGAACGGCAAAGTGTTTGATTTTCAGGAAAACGTGTTATAGACTAGTAAACGTCACGTAATGGTAGAACTTGTAGCAGGTTCCCCCCGCCATCAGAATTACAGACTTGGTCTGATTAATAACTGCATTATTAGTTTACATTACCAGTGTTCCCTTAATAACGAGTCTTATAATTCTTACATCACATATGATATATTATTACACCGAGATCGTGATGCCTAATAATACACTTCATCTACATGATCAACGACTCTAGTCTACCAACAGACAAAATTCGGTTTTCGTTTAGAAGATAAGTAGCAGGCTCATTATATTCTTTTCTCGACCTTTTTAACTTTTTGTTTTATATTCACTCATTACACAACGGTGAAAATGTTGTTGGAACTGTTACAATTATGTGTTAGCGCATATTCCAGTAGATATCATATCCTGACTCGATCACTTCTCCGTAGTCGTGTTATACAATTAATGCGCCATTATTCGCTTGTGAATAATACCAGATTTAAAATTACCTTAAACGCACCTAATGTTTGAAATGCCAGAGTAAAGTGTTTCTCAAGAGTCTTTGTCAAGCTTCTTGAGAATCACTAAAGAGTTTCTACAACTAATACATTTTTATCTCAGAACTTTCTCTGTGACACACTTTATGATATAAAGAGGATGTCTCAGGCCACTCCGTCGCACCCCCACCCCACACATTCCAACCCAAATACATACAAGCGTTGATTACCCGGGCATTGGATTACTTTTGTTCATTTGGTATTATGCAATACAATACCGAGAATAAAACCCTTTCCTATAAAATATAACAATTGATCACTCTGGCATTGCATTCCTTCTGTGGGTGCATTTATGCGTTTGTTTTGGCATGGTAGACCGAGAATGAGAACCTTTTATGTCAAGGTAACAATTTGAGCTGCACCACCGCATAACGTATTTCAGAAGATCTCCACCCATGGTAGATCTTGATTAGGAATCCCCAAGGAGATCATCTCATCATTATAAAGTCGAGTGGAAGGATAAGAAACTCGGTCTGAGTTTAAACAGCGTTGACATGACGTTAGGATAACTCCAGCGACTTGAAGTGACAATCATCTTATAATTATAGCCTCGACAAGTCTTCTTCATTACCAACTATTCTCTACATAACACATGGGACTCTCGTTGACCTGATAGTTAAAACTCGCTTTTAAATTAAATAAAATTTAAAGAAACTACATTTTAGAACTGGGTTGGTCTGGGCAAATATGAAGGCAGCTAGAACATTTTCTGAACCAGAAAGAAAATAAAACCAAGTACGAACAATCCAAACCATTAGACAGAATTGGAAGTCCTAAAAAACGGTATAGGCAAAATAGTGTAATCAGGTAAAATAGTGTTATCAGCATATGGACTGTTCGCCGTGTACAAAATACACGACAAACAGTGGTAACAGGTGTCCGGAAGGGTAAGCTTACCCTGCCCGGCGCCACACCCACAAGCTGCATCCAAACTATTAGGCGAAAACTCGGTAAAATAGCGTGATTAGCCAATGGACTATCGGTATGCAAAATGTACATGATAAACAGTGTTAACGATGTAGTAGACAGACATTATCTGTATACGCGTCAATTAAATATATCTAGAATAATAGCCGAGAGAGACATGTCATATTTGCCAATCAAGTCAATATGACGGCCATAAAACTTTTTAAAGGTTTTAATAAGTTTAGTTCGCAAGTATCCCTGTAGTTGAAGCTTAGAAAGGATACACACGAGGCTCTCGTTGGCCTCATAACAAAAACTCACTTAAAAAATTCAATAAATTTTAGAGGGGGGAAATTGGTGAATTCAGTCGGTCTGGACAGATCTTAATGGTCCGAGACCGCTATTATTAGGGGAGTTTTGATCTGGGTTTAACGTCTTACATTTTTGCACCAAATTCACTTTTAAATTGAATTAATTTCAAATGGAACAAAGTTAAAGGGGCTACATTGTTGAACTGGCATAATTGGTCTTCGAGGTAATTATAAGTCAAATATTAAAGGACCGGCGACCTCTTTGATTTAGGTAAATATAAATTATTGAATTAGGTTAAGATGATGTTATTTTGTTTTACGAAGTTTGGCTTAATTGTTGGCTTAAAGTAGCCAAGTCTCTGACTCAATATCATCCAAAGTCTTCGACATTGAAAACACGAATTATTTGTCAATTTAAATCAAAATTGATGTTGTGATCTTACCCGGAAAAGATGGATTTCTGATATCCAATATTTAAGACAAAATGAACATTTTACCATTGGTACACGAATCGTGTACCATAATCCGTTTCAGCACTATTTGTAACAAGGTACTCGAAACGCGGCTAGACATATTCCACAAGTCATGTCAAACGGTGACGTCATACTCTTATCTAGAGAGCAATAAACACTATCGGTATAGACTGGAATATCCAGACGCTAGAGATTGACATTCGTTTAAGACTTCAGGCGTCGCCGAGCTGATTTGAAATTAGAGTAAAAATAGAAAGGACTGTAAATCAGTTTATATACATTCATATTACATAATTATATGCGCTGCGACCCATTTATATGCGCTGTGTCAAATTATAGGTCCAAATGTTAGCGATTTGGCTCCTTTAAGCCTATTATGCCCACAGTGGAATACAACATAGGTAACGTTTCAACGCTGGAGACTTAAAATGTTCTACGTAGTCAGGTTTTTTAACCCGCGAAACAAATTAATGTCTTTTAAAATCATTAGTTATATAAATTAAGATAATTTACAGATTTAAAACAATTCGGACAAAACGTTAGACCTGGGCTGTTTGGTTGTAACTTAACAACATTAGCATAAAACATATTAAACATCAGACCCAGGAGTAATATGTTTCTTGGCTAAGTTTCTAGTAATTATCATTTGCCGTTTAATTTAGCTGGGAACTATTAACATGGTCTTCATTTTCAGATATGTAGAATAGTTCGTAAAAGATTGGGGTCAGTTTGGGTTCTGTGGTTATGGAACATGAATTCAAATCAGAGTTGGAATCGCGGCGTGAGCTGGACAACAGTTCCAGGATTATCAAAGTCCCGTTTTCATTTGTGATGGGTAGTGCTGACAAGACATATTTAAAATGACACGTGTACATTTTAGCGTGATTAATTTCAAATGAATAATATTATTAGCATTACGCAAGTCCCATTCTCATTTTAGAAGTCCCGAGTAAAGAATTGTGATGACACCGGTACCTGTACATAAGCATGGTGAATTTCAGATTTATTTGTATTCTTTAATGACATGTCTTATTTAATGAGACAAGTCCTTAACTCAATATCATCCACAGTCTTCGACATTGTAAATTTTTAAAATTGGCACTCGAATCGGGTGCCAGAATGCTTTCGAGTGCCATTTGTAATGAAGCAACTCGATGAACGAGGCTAAACCTATCCTACAGCTAGGGGAATACTACCGGTATGGACTGGAATAACCAGACTCCAAAGATTGCATTTAATTTGGACTCTACGCGTTTTTCGCCGAAAATAACTCATTACAAATTATAGTAAAATCAGAAACGATTGAATAAAAATCAGTTTATATACAATCATATTACATTATTATATGCGTTGCGTCCCATTCGTGTCAATTTCTAGATACCAAAGAATAGCGACTTAGCTGATTTAAATGTTTGTCACAATTGAAGATAAGTTATGATAGAGCCTCAACCGATGTTCTTCAGTGCAAGTTTAAATGAAATGGAATTGGGTTTCCGCTTCAACCCGATCAAATGAAGACAGATGTTTGCCCGGATGACGGCTTACTCTTATTTCGCATTCCAAGTGACAAGAGCTCTTTTACGTGCACGCGAACAAGTATACGAGAACGAAGTTTTTTGTTTTCCTGCACCG